TTTCCTTCGAGTCGATGGTCTACGCAGGCCACTCGAACGACCCTACGAAGGTCCATTTAAGGTTCTTAAACGTAAGGACCGCGTATTCGTTATCGACCGCCACGGTAAACGTGAAACCGTCTCTATCGACCGTCTCAAGGTTGCCCATGTGGAACCTGAGATCGACGATGACTCCCGTCCACCTTCGGACGAGTCAACGCAGCCAATGGTCGACGACACGCCTGATTCCGATGCTGCGAAGCATTCTCCGACTAACCCTTCCGACTCAATTCCTTCCGATTCTATCAAGCCGAAAGCTTCCTCATCCGACAAAACTGCTGGATCGACAACGCCTCCGACCGAACGTCCGAAATCGACTAGGTCAGGTAGGCGGGTTCATTGGCCAGCGCGATTAAAAGCTTAGTCTTCTTTTCATTCTTCCTTTCCCGCTTCCTTTTTGCTTGTGGCCTAACCCGCCCAACAAAACGGCAGTTTTGAAAACCAAATAGAACCCGCAAAAAACGTTTTGAAAACCCCAAAAATCGCAAAAGCGTTTTGAAACCCTAAAAAACGAGAAAATCGTTTTGAAAACACAAAATGGTTCTCGCTTTATTCGCTTATCGCACTCGGTAAGTGCTATCGCCTTTTGTTAGCTCTGTCGCTCGCACCTGTTTGACACTCCGCGTTTCCGCTTCTTTTTCATATCCCCGACACGCGGACGTTCAACGACAATCGAACGTTACGTTTTCGGACACTACGTGCTCAAACATCGTGTGTTGTGACACTACGCACTCGAACGCTACGAACATTCCCCCATTTTGTGTTTTTGGCACCTGTAGGGAGGACACGGGTGGGAGCCCCCCTAGCGTTCGATCGCATTGGTTCTGCCCCAGCAGCTGCATCAGGTTTCACCGCCTGGTCTCGCAGAAGGCTGGCCGGCGACGGACAGTCCTAACGTAGATCGAAGGGTCACCTACGGTTTCCTTCTAAGAGGGGGGCTGTGTAGTGACCTGGAGATTCCCCTGTTTGGCTGCCGCATGCTGCGTAAAATATTACAAAATCCCAAAATTATATTTTCTCACTGCAAACACAGCCACCGCAAGTTTCAAACGTACTACTGAAATTAACTTCAGAGGGCATAACCATGACTCAGCAAATACTAGGAAACAATACGGTTCTTGTAGCGCCGAAAACACCCTTGCGTATGCCACTGCGCCGTACACCGTTTCAGAGGTGTCACAAACCACATGTAGTTGGGTGTCATTTGTGTGGTCGTGGCCGTCTGTCGTCATACAGCGGGGAATAGAAATTTAGCCGAGGGCTATCATGCGGTCAACCCAGGGTTTCCAAACCTTTTCCTCTGATAGGCCTACATGGTCATCTCAGCTCAATTGTGCTTTACGCAGCCTGCAACAATATCTTTCCCGGTAAAGACAAAGGAGACATTAGCTCAAGTGGCTCAAACAGGGAGGAAATGGAAGATAAAATGTCCCATCGAGTTAGCGTTCATTCCGGGACGTGATTCAAAACAAAAACTGGTCGGACTCGGCATTCCATTCAATAACCAACATGCGCTCCTCTGCTCATCGTCAACCTCCTTGGGGTTCCAGGAAAGTCCAGACGGCGGAATTGATTCCAACCCAGCTGGTTTGTTAAATATTCGTTTCCGCAGTTTGAAACTATATTTTGCTAGTACATGGAAAGTCTGTTCCGCTAATTATTTTGCTTCCTCCACTCTGCGTACTGTGATTAGACTGTCGTCTAGGTAAAAGTTGTTCACAACTGCTTCTGTTACTGCAGTATCGAACAAGTGACCGAAGTCCATCGCTGTCTTACGAATAGCGTAAGTGACGCGACACGACAACGAAGTCGCTCCGAACTGGTGGGTATTCAATTAGTTCCCTAGACGTATCGTGGTCGGGCCACCACAAGAAGCAATACTCAACCCGATCTCTCTCTAGCACCAAAACTTACATAAACATCTACGTCGACTTCCAGGGTTACCGAGCATTTACGAAACTGTAAGAGAACCCTGGCCAGTTAGGCAGAGAGGTCAGGCCTCTGATAGGATTAATTATACAATGAGATGCCTTGGAATTTAGCGGCACAGTCCAGGATGGCTCACAACTTATCAGGCTTTCTGAGATTGAATACAGCATGGTGGGATATGTATCAACAAGGTGAAAATGTTGGCACTTGCTGTTCTGGAGGAGCTGCAACTGCGTATCCTTTGGAAAGGGTTTGGACTATGGCGAACCGTCGCTTCAGAAGCAGTAATCTTTTTTCTACAAGCGGCCGATTGTTTGGCACAAACTCACTGCGATCGCGCCAAGGTAGTGGGATGACGTAGTGAACGTCACTCACCCGCTTCTGCTTTGTAACCATATCCAGGATTGCGACATCCTCTACAGACGCTTATAGATCCGAGAACTCTGTTGTACATCCTTTGGATTTTGTCGGACAAAGTGGCCTCACTTGTTTCCAGACAGTTTGCATTAACCATCCTTCGCCTTTGCGGCCCGAGCGGACCAAATAAACCAACCAACTAGGATCTTAACTGCGTAGGGTTGTTTCCGACCTCATAGTCTCTGTTGTAAAACTCAATGGGCTTCAGGTACATCACTTCCGATGAGCAATGACACGGTTGTGTCCTCGATGTTTTCAACACCCACGTCGACTAGATGGGACCACTTGCTTTTCTCTTGTCGTAGCAACTTCGCAGACGACTGTATGGGTAAGCTAGGAACGGAGGAATCTCGGTCCACTTCAATACTTTCCGAGTCGTCCAATGACCATACTTTGAGCTTAACCATGCACCCTGTGATATTTTTCACCTCGTTAAGGGTAGTGATTGCAAGCGAGGACGGTTTGGACATCAAGCCAAGGCGTTCCACTAAATCCTCAGTAACTAGGGTAGTGTCAGAACCATTGTCAAGAAAGGCACAGACATTAGCAACGCCAGCAAGACCGACTAGTTTAACCGCGACTATGCCTAGGACAACACAGAGCGCTGTGTGAGTCGTTACGCAACGAGCGCTCTCATGACTTTTCGGGAAAACAGACAGGGAGACACCTTTGGAGCATTCCTTCGAGTGTGGGACTTTGACATTAGCTGGACATTCGTGAACATGGGATCGCCTTTCCCCACCATCTACCAACTGTCCAAAATGATTGCGAGCTGTACGGGCACAGTCCAGAACGGTGCAGGAGCAGCAGCATGGAAAGATATCGGTAACACGCGACGCCAATTTGTTGTATCCCGAAAATGCAGCATACCAGGGCAACATCGGAACGGTGCAGAACGTATGTATGAAAAAGCTGTCTGTACATACGTGCGTTACGATTAAATCGATGGAGGTTCGCATTGCAACCAATCGAATGCAAGATCACATGGCTGGGCCAACGGGTGCTAAATACAAGTGTGAGTAGGATAAGCGAGTCGAGTGCAAAAACAAAACAACGTATTTGAACACGACACAGTTCCACTTGAACTTGCGTCGTTTCACAGCGTAGACATGCTTAGTTTGGCTGTTCCAAGTTTCGTGGAACGCAGTCGGAGGTTTGGTTTGCATTATTTGAGACTGAACTGGAACATAAGAGCATTCACGCGGACCATCGAGGTAATATCAGCCCGTCCCACGTCTTCCTTCGTCGGTTTTGACGCTGGTTCAGGACATTCTACTCTGCCCGTCGAATAAGGCAAAGTATGCAACGATGAAGCAAGCGATTTTAAACGAGTTACAGCCCAGCGCAGGGCTCGATTTGAACAGCTCAATAATCTCAATCCGGGTGATCGCAAGGCATCTACATTGCTCCGCGAAATTCGGCGCATCGCTGGTCCCTTATTTTTGAACAAAGAAGGGATTTAGGAGCTGTGGTCTTCAGGTTTTCCAGAGCCATTGCCGGTCATACTGTCCATGTGTGTAAATACGCCTATGAAAGAACTAGCTACTAAAGCAGACGCTGCGTTCCAACCTATTCCGCAGCAGACAACTAGTAGCTTCGGTGACGTACTCTCACCGATGAAAATTGGGCCTTATATTTGCTCCAAGTCGTCAAGCCGATCCGTCCCTAAAGTCGAGGAAACGGCACCACTTCGCAGTAGGATAGCAACAGTAAAGTCTTCGAAACAGTGTGTGCCGTGGTCAGACGCTGCCCACCTTTTGGCTACCGTTCATTGCGGCTCATCTGTGCCTGCACAGAGAACGTCTCCTTCTACACGAAAGCGCAACGTCTTCTCCGCACGTCCTCAGTCCGCTAATACAAAACCCATGGAAGAGATATGTTGGTATCACCGCCAGTATAGTGGAAGAGCTAGACGTCAGCCTCACTGCTTTGAGCACGATTCAGCTGCTTCAAGGAAAGCGAATAGCCCGCATACTAGCACGACCGACGCGTCCGTCAAAAAGCAAACAAATCACCTGTTTTACCTTAAGGATCGACGTTCCTCGTCGACACGGGAGCGGAGGTCAGCATCATCCCTGCAAACGCGAACGACAAACACTCAAATCCCACGTACAACCTGTGTGCGGCCAACGGTTCTCCGATAGCTTCATTCGGTCAGCGCATGATGAACTTGGACCTCAATCTCACTGAATATATTCAGTGAGTATTCATGGTTGCGTCTGTACCCTACACAATTATCGGTAGCGACTTCCTCCGACATTTTGGGTTGCTTGATGACGCTGGTCTCCACACACTTTTAGATGACCGTACTAAACTAGGGGTTGGAATCGATCTTATGGACGCTTAAAATATCAGTCCCGCTTTCCGAATCGCCCAAGTAACTTCAGATTTTGCGGATCTACTTTCTGTATACCCGCGACTGATATGACCAGTTGCAAAGCTTCCGCCAGGTACGACAGAGGTCGCTCAGCACCTTGTCACGCGCAGTCCCGGAACGTGTGCCGGACCGAGCCTATTCGCTTCCGACAAGCTACGTCCCACAAGAGCTGAATTCGATCACACGCTTCATCTCGGTATCATTAGATCATCCAACAGCTCATGGGCGTCGTCTCCACATGTTTCCGACGAAGACCATGGGGGACTGGCGTTCTTGTGGCGATTCTCGTCCCCTAAACAACGTGACCACGCCTGATCACTATCCTATCCTACATATGGTGGATCTCACCGTCAGTCTGACTGGTGAAATCCTTTGCAGTAAAATCGACTTGGTGCGCGCTTACAGCCAAATTCCGGTAGCCGAAGCGGACATCGCTAAAACTGCCGTGACGTTTCCATTTGGTTTGTTCGAGTTTCTGCACATGCCGTTTGGTCTAAAGAATGCGGTGTAACCACCTCAGCGCTTAATCGACCAAGTTTGTTGCGGTCTAGTATTCGCTTATGCTTACCTCGCGATTTCCTCACGCGAAGAGCAAGTACGCCACGTTCGAACACTTTTTGATCATTTATCAAAACACGGAGTGACGATCAACGCAGAGAAGAGTTCGTTTGTTGTCGATTCTGTTAGTTTTCTCGGCCATCAGATCTCTCCTGCAGGCGTGGTGCCACTATATGATAAAATTAAGGCCATCATCTACTATCCCGAGCCTCATTATTTCAAGCAGCTAAGACGATTTGACGGCCCCGTCAACTTTTATCTTCGTTTCATACTTAGTTGCACCTTGCCTTTGCAACCCATCACGAACCTTCTCCGATGGAAACTTAAGCAATTAGATTTTCCTGCTACAGCACGCGCCGCCTTACAGCCTTTGAAAGAGGCTATCGCCAACATAGTTTCTGTAGCGCATCACGACCCGGCAGCCACACTATCGCTCAGTACCGACGCTTAGGTCGTGGCAATTAGGGTGGTCTTACAACAAAAGGTAGGTGACGCTTGACAGCCGTTGTCAATTTTTTCCAAACGTTTGCAACCTGCCGAATCTCTTTACAGTACTTTCGGTAGAGAACTGTTAATCATTTATTTATCCACACATGTCTTAGAATGCCGCTCCTTTGCCGTCTTCACCGACCACATCCCTGACTTACGTGCTCAGCTTGACTACCGACCGATACTATCCTAGAGAGTCGCGCCACCTAGAATATATCGCTCAGTTTACGACCTATGTGCATAACCTCGTCGCGGACGCACTTTCCTGAATTCAGGCGATCTCCGCTGACGCCGGCACCGCTATTGCCTCGGCAGCCATGGTCGCAGCGTAACTCAAGGATCTTGAGGTTGATATAATACGCAGGTCTCCCTCACTGGACATACGACCCTTTCCACTGACATCATCAGACGGAACTATATTTGTGATCTATCTCTGGGCACACCGCACCCAGTCGTCCCATGCGAGTTTCGACAGACCGTGTTCGATACGTTGTACGGTTTGTCTCACCCAGGCGTTCGTGCATCAGTTATTTAGGCTGATCCCTTGATTAGGCTGTTCCAGCACTGCCTTGACGATCAGCACGTTCCTACAATATGGAAACACGGAATAATAACTCCTATTTACAAAGGGTGTAGTCGTTCCGACCCAGGTACTTACCGACCAGTGACTCTACTGCCAGTTCTTTCAAAAGTTATGGAGGCTATCATTGCCGACACTTATGTCTTATCTGAACGGCTTGGTTTCATTGCTCAGCAGCAACATGGATTCCGCCAGAATCGGTCGTGCACAACCGATCCATTGTTATCACAAGCAGGAGCTGATGTGGCTTACCTTGATTTCTCTAAGACCGGTTGGACCATCTTATCCTTCTCGCCAAACTTCAAGGATGTGGCATTGGCGACCCTCTCCTCGGGTGAATCTGTAATTTTCTCTCGCACAGGCGTCTGGAGGTGAGAATACGTGAATCTATATCAGACCTAATTCACGTCGAATGCGGAGTGCCATCGGGTTCGATATTTTGCCCCGTCCATTCTTGGTCTTCATAAAGGATCTAGTGAGTCAAATTGCGTCAAAATGTTTACTCTGCGCTGATGATCTCAATGTTTGGCTAGTGATCAGAGCTCCAGAAGACCGTATCCAGCTTCAAATCGACCTTGGTCCAAAATCGTCTTTTCTTCAATGTGGCTAAATGTCGAGTGTTCCATTTAAGACACCAAATGGTTCACACATCTAAGCTGAGGGGCCAGGATCTGCAACGCTTCTGTCGGAAAGGATCTCGTTGTGTTGGTGCAGGCAGATCTCGGCTGTTTGGAGCAGTCCAAAAAGTCATGGATGAAGGGGATCCAAATCGTGGGGCTTTTACGGAGAGCTTTCAGGCAAATCGAACTGTCGAGCTTCCGCCAAATACTTCCTGCTTATATACGCCCTCATGTTGAATATGCAACTCAGGCATGGCACCCATGACTAAAACGGTATCTCACGGTCTTGTAGCTTCCACAACGTCGGGCTAACAAAAATGTCAACTGGCTGCTCCACTTGTCATACGAACAGCGCCTCAGAGTGCTTGGCATTTTCAGTGGACATTATCGCCGTTTGCATGGTGATCTAGTCTTGGTTTACCAAATATTAAACAACGCTCATCACCCCTGCCACCATCTATTAAAGCTGTGTCACAACATCCAACTGAGTGGTCATCATCTCAAATTGGTTGAACAATACAGTCGGTTGGAGTGCCGAAGAAACTTCTTCTCGCTGCGTCTTTGCCACACTTGGAATACCCTCTCAGAAGCTGTTATTTCAGCCCTCACGTTAGCCGTGTTCTACGCACGTGTAGACAGTGCCATGGCCATACTGCATCGTATCTCGTAATGCAAACGACCCATACAAACAGCAGAAAAACAAACCAACCCATCTCCATTTTGCCCGGAAACCACAGACGATAACCTTGGATATTACAAAAAACGGACGGGGACGCTGTACTCGGCAAGTTCGCAATTTGCAGTTGTTCACAATTTCCTATTGTCATTGCCATTATTTTGCTCACCTCTAACCGATCATCCTGCGGGACATGTCAAGCTTCGGCTTTTATGTCCGCAATATACCATTGATCATTATCCATAAACTCGTAACCACACGATTCGTCTGGCGCCTTGTCAACCGTGACGTTCGTACTTGGGCAGCTGCTTGCCTTGCGTGCCAATGCGCGAAAGTGCAAAGGCACACGGAAGGCGCTTCAGGCACGTTTCCGACACCAGACGAACGTTTCCAACACGTGCACGTCGACCTCGTAGCTCCTGTGCCTCCTTTGAAAGGCTCGGTATACCTAGTAACTTGCAACCACCGAATTACCAGGTGGCCAGAGGCTATTCCGATTCCGAACTGCTCTTCGGAAACAGTAGCAAAGACATTTTTGTAACACTGGGTAGCTCAGTACTGTTGCCCTGCCATCGTGACCACCGATCGAGGGTCATATATCTCGTCCGCTTTTGCCACTTTGCTTAAGGATTTATGCTGTCGATACGTCCAAACGACGACGTATCATCCGGCCACTAACGGCTTGATGGAGCGTTTTCATCGCCAGTGAAATGCAGCGCTACGTGCGCACTCAGATCTTTATTGATCTATAACACTTCCTATCCTCCTCCTCCTAGACTTAAGAAACACGGTTAAAACTGATTTCGACGCAACAAAAACGCAGCTAGTCTGCGGCTGCACGCTGCGTTTGCCTGGACAACTGGTGGCACCAGCCCCATCTACTCCTTTGACTATGGAAGTTATACCGACCGATTGGCTCACCGGATGCGTGAGCTACGTCCGCCTGCTCCTCCATCGCAGAAGACACCAGTGTACGTGCCCGAAAGTCTGTCTACGTGTTCACAAGTCCTCCTTCGCGCAAAAGTGTTAGGTAGTCTTTTCAGTCACCGTACATAGGACCCTTCAAAGTGCTACACCATACGAATAAGACGTACACCATTAACGACGGTGGCCGACGCGAAGTCGTCACCATTGATCGCTTCAAATCAGCTTTGAACGACGAGGTCGCTGAGCCTATGACTACTTCGAACGCTTCGTGTGACGCTACAGAAATCGCGCCACGTTACAAACGTGTAGCATTCCTGCAGCGAGTACCGATTTAGGTTCAGAGGTTAGGGCCGTCATCATCTACTGTGAGCCTGTTGCCTCCCATGATCGATCGCCATGGTCGGGAGGTTCATAAGCCCGTTTGCTTTTCTGAGTATGTACAGTGTAAAGTCGGTTAGGTTTGTAAATCTTGTAACTATTTGCCCCGCTTTTGGTCGAATAACGTGTTAAATACACAAATTATCAAGGACGTCCGAAAAACCTCACTTAAAAGTACTATCCAAAAGCCCAAACATTTTTGCACGCAGATCATTCGTTCCTTCTTTTTGACATGTTCTGCGTGTTTTTCTACTTTTTCGTCTTTACATGTCCCAGCGCTCCCCTTCGATTTACTGGCCCTCACGGGCAATTTTTTCGAGAATGGCCATTCAATGAGGAGCCTGATGCGAACGCAGGTCATGTCTCCGCGGGACGACGGTCGTTTCTGCGTGGGGCGAGGGTCGTTTTTTGCGCGAGGCGTGGTGCGGCGGGGAGAGATACCTCTCCCAAACACACCGTTTGGCAGCAGCGGAGCTTGAGGTCCAGTCGGCTTGTTTCAACGCTGGCCAGTTTTTTAAAGTCTAACAAGCACGCTCCAACGGCTCGCCGAAATGCAACCTGCCCTGCAAACACTACATAATAAATGACCAACTGCACAGCGGATTCCGATTTTCGACGAATCTCAGTTTGATGCGAAAGCCCACTCACTCACTCGGCACGATTTTGCCCGTCATTGAAGGCTTCTTTGGTTCAGCGTTCCAGGTGGGGAGCTCTGTAGCGCCCAAATGATAATTACTCTCTTTTATGTACTATTTAACTGCTGACCGACTGTACATTATTCTTCCTTCTTTTCATCTCCCTTACATCGCGCTCGTCACTTGACTGCTCTGTAAGTTGTCCTGCTTACCTTTTGCTCCTGTTTCGTTTCACCCGTCCACCTTTTTTGTAGCTCATGGAGTGTACTCCGCTGTGTCTGACCTCAACTGTCTCCTAATATCCGCACTTGATTACGCGCACCGTCTCGGACTAGTTTTTACTAGTTTTACGCCACAGTACTGGTCACGTGAAATAAGAAACAGGTGTACGAAAGTAATAAAAACGTTAAGAACCGTAACGTGATAGAGAATTGATAGTGCAGTAAGACGAACAGCCTGAGATGTGAAAAGATAAGTTAGGAGCTGAAGGTCAATTGCGCCAAGTCGGGGTTCGAACTCTTTCACCGTTATTGGGAACATGACGTTCTCGGGCGCTGAATTCTAGGGATCTCCCACTGCGTGATAAACGAAATTCCGACCGGTCCGATTTTCTTTAGGCCATAGGATGCCGACCCATTCGTA